AGACACATTCTGGGGACACCAGAGACTTATATTACATATTGTAAAAAGGGGCATAATATGTCTCCATTAAGTTGACAATGACAACCTGGATCAATGTTTAGACAAACTAAAAAAAATCACCAAAAATAAAATGTCTCAAAGCTAATAACTTTCTGTAAAAACTCATCGTGTTCCTACAACCTCAAGAGCCCTGTTGCTTTATTCTTGGCCAATACTACAACTTCGAAAATCTGAAATATTCGCACACACCCATCACTAACAAATAAAACTAGGGCCTGACTCTCTATAATCGCTTGTCAGTTAATTTCATGGCAAATTCGGATGTAAACTGTCTGCTCTGGGACCTGTCGGAGTTTACGGAGTCATCTACCTTTCCAATCAGCTTATTTAGGAACTAGTGCATCTATTAAAAAGCAAACGTGCAGTCATGATTTGACAAAAAGGAGGCCACCTCAATCAGCTCCCTCTGCAAAAGACTCCCAGTGTTGGGCCCAGGAGAGTGAGAAGGTTGATGAAATCCATTCAGTGAGAAGGACGTATGAGAAAGCACAGAAATCACATCTTTATCCAGCTCGAGTTCCTGACATGAAACTAAACCACGGCCAACTGCATATGCAACAGAGAGGTCATCTACAGAGACATTTCAAATCATTTGCATTCAGTAAACCGACATTTAGAATTAGAGATTGACCTATATTGTTTGTATGACTCATAACTTAAGTTTATTCTGAAGCGTGTTATTTTCGCCTATCCTCGCTTAGTATGCAAACTAAAACCACTTGTAGTTTAATTTCCCTGAACAGTTTAACTATCAAAACTATCAAAATTGGCTCAACCAATTGCACAAGCTTGGGGCGGGACGATTTGTTTGACAGGCCAATAGCACACAGTTGAAGAAATTGGCTAAGTGTCAAGTAACCAATATGCACAATTTCATTTGTGTGATTTCTGCTTTTTGAAAAAAGAAATAAACAATAATAAATATTTAATTAATAATTATATGTACAATAACATAATATCATAGCAGTTAAATTTGAAGCTGAAGTGTGTTTTAAAATTTTCTCCTGCCCCTGCTTAGCATGCAAATAAAATCAAAAGCCATTTGTAGGTTAATTTCCATGAAGTTTAAACAATATGGCACTATATAAAAACATCCCAACAGAACAAAATTTGGCTCAACCATTCACATAAATGTAGGACGGACTATTTATTTGACTGGCCAATGGCACATGGGGGTGTGTTTGAATTTCTTTTCTTTTTTTTTTTTTATTCGACAAAATAATGGGAAAACAAACTATTTATATATTAATATCAGTGCGGTCAAGTGATTAATCGTAATTAATCACATCCAAAAAAAGTTTTTGTTTACATAATAAATATACACAGTACACACACTTATGTATATAAAAATACACACATTCATGTATACATTTAAGAAAATATTCATATTTATATAAAATAT